CCTCTCCCCTCTTCTCGCCGTCCTTCTTCCCCTCCCTCCGTCCCCGGCTCCATCCCTCCCTCCGTCCCTATCTCCATCCTCCCTCCCCTCCACCGTCTGCCCCTCGCCATCCCTCCCATTTCCATCTCCCCCGTTCCTCCCTTTCTCCCTCGCTGCTCCTCGCCGTCCTTCCCTCCGTCCCTGCCTCATCCCTCCATCTCCCCATCGCTTCTCCTCCTCCCCATCCCTCTCTCCAGCCATCCCTCCTGCGCTCATCCGCACCACCACCTCTCCTGTCACCCTGACGGGGTGGTGACGGTCCCCCCCTCTCTGAGCGGGGACACGGCTGTCCCCGGCGCCCTGCGCTGCCCGGCACCGGGGACCCCTGGGGACGAGTGGCCGTCAGCCCCAGTCCATGCCAGGCCCTGGGCCCAGTCAGCCCCAGTCCATGCCAGGCCCTGGGCCCAGTCAGCCCCAGTCCATGCCAGGCCCTGGGCCCAGTCAGCCCCAGTCCATGCCAGGCCCTGGGCCCAGTCAGCCCCAGTCCATGCCAGGCCCTGGGCCCAGTCAGCCCCAGTCCATGCCAGGCCCTGGGCCCAGTCAGCCCCAGTCCATGCCAGGCCCTGGGCCCAGTCAGCCCCAGTCCATGCCAGGCCCTGGGCCCAGTCAGCCCCAGTCCATGCCAGGCCCTGGGCCCAGTCAGCCCCAGTCCATGCCAGGCCCTGGGCCCAGTCAGCCCCAGTCCATGCCAGGCCCTGGGCCCAGTCAGCCCCAGTCCATGCCAGGCCCTGGGCCCAGTCAGCCCCAGTCCATGCCAGGCCCTGGGCCCAGTCAGCCCCAGTCCATGCCAGGCCCTGGGCCCAGTCAGCCCCAGTCCATGCCAGGCCCTGGGCCCAGTCAGCCCCAGTCCATGCCAGGCCCTGGGCCCAGTCAGCCCCAGTCCATGCCAGGCCCTGGGCCCAGTCAGCCCCAGTCCATGCCAGGCCCTGGGCCCAGTCAGCCCCAGTCCATGCCAGGCCCTGGGCCCAGTCAGCCCCAGTCCATGCCAGGCCCTGGGCCCAGTCAGCCCCAGTCCATGCCAGGCCCTGGGCCCAGTCAGCCCCAGTCCATGCCAGGCCCTGGGCCCAGTCAGCCCCAGTCCATGCCAGGCCCTGGGCCCAGTCAGCCCCAGTCCATGCCAGGCCCTGGGCCCAGTCAGCCCCAGTCCATGCCAGGCCCTGGGCCCAGTCAGCCCCAGTCCATGCCAGGCCCTGGGCCCAGTCAGCCCCAGTCCATGCCAGGCCCTGGGCCCAGTCAGCCCCAGTCCATGCCAGGCCCTGGGCCCAGTCAGCCCCAGTCCATGCCAGGCCCTGGGCCCAGTCAGCCCCAGTCCATGCCAGGCCCTGGGCCCAGTCAGCCCCAGTCCATGCCAGGCCCTGGGCCCAGTCAGCCCCAGTCCATGCCAGGCCCTGGGCCCAGTCAGCCCCAGTCCATGCCAGGCCCTGGGCCCAGTCAGCCCCAGTCCATGCCAGGCCCTGGGCCCAGTCAGCCCCAGTCCATGCCAGGCCCTGGGCCCAGTCAGCCCCAGTCCATGCCAGGCCCTGGGCCCAGTCAGCCCCAGTCCATGCCAGGCCCTGGGCCCAGTCAGCCCCAGTCCATGCCAGGCCCTGGGCCCAGTCAGCCCCAGTCCATGCCAGGCCCTGGGCCCAGTCAGCCCCAGTCCATGCCAGGCCCTGGGCCCAGTCAGCCCCAGTCCATGCCAGGCCCTGGGCCCAGTCAGCCCCAGTCCATGCCAGGCCCTGGGCCCAGTCAGCCCCAGTCCATGCCAGGCCCTGGGCCCAGTCAGCCCCAGTCCATGCCAGGCCCTGGGCCCAGTCAGCCCCAGTCCATGCCAGGCCCTGGGCCCAGTCAGCCCCAGTCCATGCCAGGCCCTGGGCCCAGTCAGCCCCAGTCCATGCCAGGCCCTGGGCCCAGTCAGCCCCAGTCCATGCCAGGCCCTGGGCCCAGTCAGCCCCAGTCCATGCCAGGCCCTGGGCCCAGTCAGCCCCAGTCCATGCCAGGCCCTGGGCCCAGTCAGCCCCAGTCCATGCCAGGCCCTGGGCCCAGTCAGCCCCAGTCCATGCCAGGCCCTGGGCCCAGTCAGCCCCAGTCCATGCCAGGCCCTGGGCCCAGTCAGCCCCAGTCCATGCCAGGCCCTGGGCCCAGTCAGCCCCAGTCCTTGTCAGGCCCTGGGCCCAGTCCGCACCAGTCAGCCCCAGTCCTTGTCAGGCCCTGGGCCCAGTCCGCACCAGTCAGCCCCAGTCCTTGTCAGGCCCTGGGCCCAGTCCGCACCAGTCAGCCCCAGTCCTTGTCAGGCCCTGGGCCCAGTCCGCACCAGTCAGCCCCAGTCCTTGTCAGGCCCTGGGCCCAGTCCGCACCAGTCAGCCCCAGTCCTTGTCAGGCCCTGGGCCCAGTCCGCACCAGTCAGCCCCAGTCCTTGTCAGGCCCTGGGCCCAGTCCGCACCAGTCAGCCCCAGTCCTTGTCAGGCCCTGGGCCCAGTCCGCACCAGTCAGCCCCAGTCCTTGTCAGGCTCTGGGCCCAGTCCGCACCAGTCAGCCCCAGTCCACACCAGGCTTCTCCAAGTCCATGCCAGGTGCCGGGACCAGGCTGCACCCCACCACAGTTCCTCCAGGGCCGAGTTGGGGGCCCCTCTCAGGAACCCATTTCTGCTCCCGCAGGGGGGATGCCGCCCTGGTCGATGTCACCACAGCTCTGGAGACAGAGTCCGCCAACGGAAAGGACCCCCTGGTAGGTGGCTGGGGGCGGCCGGGGCTCGCTGGGAGAGGCCCAGTCCACGGGGGTGAGTTCTGCAGCGCTGGGACAGGGGCGGAACGTGAGAGTGGCCAAAGCTGAACGTGCAGCCCCTCGGTGAGGGTGCTGCCCGGATGGCCGTGCAGGGACAATTTGCTTGTCCCTGCAGCAGAGCTGCCCTCCTGGTGGAGTCCGTGCGGGTCTGCGAGAGCTGGGGATCCTGTACATGGAAATTATCCTTCCCTCTTGTGGGTTGTTGCAGGCTGAGACTTGTCCTTGGGATACCTCTTCACCAGACAGCTAGCCCTCTCCCATTTCGGTTTTCTTTCCCCCCCCCCCCCTCCTCACTAGCACATTTTGCCAAAGGATTCTTATTTGGTAGCGATCTAGTGGATGTCAGGGGAGGTGCGAAGGTGTGAGATGGCCGTGGGTTGTATGTGGCATAGGAAAAGGAATGCAGATATCTTTTTCAGCAGGTAAAGTTTTTCTGTTTAACAAAGATTATGTCTGGCAATGCCTGACCTGTTGGTAATCTTGGAAAACTGAGGATGCTTATTTGTCCTAAGTCAGGAGTAAGATGAAGATACAGAAGATGAGAAGGTAGTTATTGGGGAAACAAAATGTGAACATGTTGCCGTGGTTCGGGTGAGAAGGACTTTCAGTTCTCCTAACTCCAGTTTTAGTTCTTTAAAGAATTATTTTGGAAATTAAATCCTCACCCATCTGACTGGTTCTAACTAACTGAATCTGCAAATTAATTCCAGTTCATCACAGCGTGGCTGTATATGAGGGCAGAAAAAAAATTATTCCCTCTAAATTCTCCTGTCTTGACAGGTTATTGCACAAAACTTTCTTCCTGTCTGATTCAGTCAATCTTTAGGCCAGTCCAATTTTGCTGATCTGCTCTGGTTGTAGGAAGCTGCCGGGGACAACTCTGAAGTCCTGGATGCTCAGGCAGGCTCAGTGGATGAAGAGAACGGACGGCAGCTGGGAGAGATAGAGCTGCAGTGTGGAATTTGTACAAAGTGGTTCACAGCGGACACGTTTGGCATTGACACCACGTACGTAAGCTCTGCTTAATGCTGGGTGTGAGACTTTGGTCAGCAAAAATGGAAGTATTTAGAGTGTAAATTCCCAAGGGCCGGGACGGTGCCCAGGTCCTTGGACACTTGGAAACCAGTGTGTTATGTAAATAACAAAAACTGTACCCAACACAGCAGGGAGTGTTTGTGTTTGTACATTTCAGCTTTAGAAAAATCTTTGACCAGACCTCAGGACTGTCAGAGCCACCCTTGGACTTAGTGCTTTAGAGGTCTGTAAGTGTTATTTGAAAAGCAGAGTGGCCTTCAACAGACATTCTCA